TACCACGAAACCTCGTGTACTTAACTCAAAATTTTACTCAGAGCGGACCTTTCCCCCGGCAACAAGGGGGGTCGTTTGAACCTCCCAAAACTCCCCTGGCTGCGGCCCTTAATTGCATTCGTGTTTCTAATCTGTTTAATTGCCTTTTCAATCATTGCTCTTTGCCTCGCTAAATACTTCTCCACGATAACAGGCAAACGGAATGGGATATCTTGTGATGTAGCATTGGTCCTTTTTTCTTTTGTTTTGTTGTAAATGACCGGAAAACTTTCATATCCTAGATCTGCGATGACATCCTTGCATATATCGTCTATTCGTGTGGCCACACCCAATGGAATGTTGTATTTCCATGAGTGGGCAGTCTCGGAGGAGTTTTGTTTGTGCGTTTCAAAACGAAATGCCCGATGGGTATCATTTCGACTCTTTTGTCCTAAAATCATCGGAATGCTTCTTGTTTGTACTGGCAAAGGAATTCTGAATGTACTTGTAGTTAATACTGTTATCTCCTTTGTTTTATTTTGACTGCGTTCACTACCATGCATTGTGTTATTTTTCAACCACTTTTCCACGGCAGGTGAGAGTTCCATGCCCAGAAAGTTATAGATGTTTACACCCGACGCTATTGGATCTAGTGCAATATCTTCATAGCGTACCTGCATAAAACGACCTGGGTAGACCCGTTCCAGTCGTTTCTGTTCTCTAATATTCATCTCCATCTCATGACAACGCGTGTGAGCTTCAAAGTCAATGTCGCACTGTATTTCTCCCGCGTTTATTCTAGAGAACAGGGAAGCCCTGGGATCCCGTATAAGGTGTATGATTACAAGATTTGGATGTCGTTCCAAAAGGGGAGCCAAATCTGGCATACTAAGGCGAAGAATCTTGAAGGCTTTGAAAGTGGTGTGCTTCGCACATGCGGCTTGAAGGTGTTGAACACACGTTTCTTTGTGTTTTTTAACTCTATCGATACAGTTTCTATACTTGCGTAGCTGTTTATGCCTTCCAACGTCGATAAAAAAATGATGGTCTGGAGGATCGCTGGCAAGCACTTCAAGAGGGACGTCCGACATTTGACAGCGAAGGAGACTGTCAACAATATCAACCAAGAAACGGGTTTTTAAACCATCTGGCGGTAGAATTCTGTAATAAAAATAATATATATATATATATATATATATATATATATATATATATATATATATATATATATATATATATATATATTTTTTTTTTTTTTTTTGTGGGGAAGATACATTCACAAAGCCATCCAGAGAGAGAGACATGGAGTCTCTGAATCGAAATATTTTATGATCTTAAAACCGATAAAAGAAGGGGGGAGTGTAACTGAACTGGAGACAAAATAATCTGATCAGCGATTTTACCGTTTAGTTCCATTAGGGTAAGTGACTCCTTTCACTTTGGCCCCATACTTCAGTTTCCCGTGTACAACTCCCCACAGGGGCTCGAACAAATAGAATGCCTCTGGATTCTGATTAAACAGTTCCCCCAACATTGAAGATCCGCTACGCTGATAAGAGAGAATAATGACCGATCTGGTACCATTGACAGGTCTTGCTACATTCTTTGCGCTTTGATATTGGTGGAGTGTTCGAATGGAAAGTCCTTAAAAAGATATTTATAGTTTTTAGATATCCTGAAATATTATTTCTTTCATTCATTTGTCATGGCGTCTTGTATCAAGTTATATGTATCTTAAAAAGAAAAAAACGCCCAGCCCGTCCTTCAAATACCCCCCTCAGCGTAGTTCACCTAGGTTCATGTTTGCGGCTGATGAGTCGGTGGTTCCAGCAGCTCCAGAGAGACATTTGTTGTGTGAGAGGTGGCCCCATCTTGCTGGTACCACTGGTGCCCCCTCTCTTTACACCTCTTCCACGGCTCACGAGCTCCAATCCATGCCACGATTTTTTCAGAGCCAAACGCATTCCCTCATCCTCGACCCCCAGATTTTTGGAGGTATTTGAAGGATCGAGTCTACAGGAACAAAACCCCACCCCATCCCTGCCCCATCAGAGCATCAATTAATGAAGAAATCAGAGCTATACCAAAGGAAGAATGAATGTAAGTCATCGACAACTTCGCCCGCAGAAGTCAAATACATGTATGTGTCTTTAGCAGAACGGAGTTTACGAGTGAGTTTGTTGGTAGCATATTCCATAAATGACGATAAAATCTTTGCCAGTAGAGCTAGTGACTCGTTGTTTGTTTCAGTAGATTTGCTAATGTCTTTAAGTTTCAGAAATATATGAGTTGCATATAGTATAAAAAAATAAATGGCGTCTACGTTCTCGAGTTACTTTTATAATGGGACACCGTGTATATATCGACTTTTGAAAAATAACCATTATTAATTTATTTCAAAAGTTAAAATCCCGTCATTTTTATGTTTTAACCAATTTTTACCGATAGCGAGACACAGAACTAATTTCCTATTCCCTAGCTGTGATCTAGACCCCTGTCTATTTTCCACTTTATATTTTTAGACGGGTTAAATCGATCGATTAAAGCATATTTTATTTTTTTTNTATGAGTTGCATATAGTATAAAAAACTAAATGGCGTCTACGTTCTCGAGTTACTTTTATAATGGGACACCGTGTATATATCGACTTTTGAAAAATAACCATTATTAATTTATTTCAAAAGTTAAAATCCCGTCATTTTTATGTTTTAACCAATTTTTACCGATAGCGAGACACAGAACTAATTTCCTATTCCCTAGCTGTGATCTAGACCCCTGTCTATTTTCCACTTTATATTTTTAGACGGGTTAAATCGATCGATTAAAGCATATTTTATTTTTTTTCCTTACCTTGAAGTGCGTCTTTTTCCATATGTTCTAAATTGGGTTGGAGATTTAGCAGAATGTATGTTGATATTGCTACGTGTGTCACAACCAGAATGTACAGCATCCGTCGAAAGTCACGTCTTATCTCCATGTTTGTGTTACTACTCTACCTTATTAAAGACACAGAATGAATAAATACATGACGTTCATATTTGAAGCACGTAAAATTCAGAATTCCCGTTCTACATGTATATTCAAACCAAATGCAGGTTCTATATTGACATTTCATGTTGATTACATGTATCAGCCCTTTTCCTGGGAGTATCCATAACGTGAGACCACTGACAAATTATTATAGTGATATACCACGTGCAGAAAGATGCTGGTTCCCGAAGTTTAGGTCTTATGTAGACAGTATTGCACACCAGATATATCAAAGGGGTAATAGGGATTCTAAAAACACTGAGGACAAACTAAAGTTAACTTAATTTCACAATGGACCATGTATGTCTGTAATTGTGACCCATGTAGGCCTACAAGTATTCTTAAGGGAAAAGTGGAAATCATGGATTTCTCAAAATATTTTAAGATGCACACTTACCCACTAGGTATACATCATAGGGGTAATAAGGTTAAAGTTAACAAACCTAATTTGATAATGAAATCTTTATCAACCTGGCAGCAGTTGAATTCCCATGTACTAGTCGGCTGACTAGTATTTCTATGGCTAATAACAGCCATCTTGGATTTTCTCAAACTGTTCAAGAATACATGCTTGTTATTCACAAGACTGGGGTGACAAGGATGTAAAAAACACTGACAAACAAACTAACTTTCACTTCATTTCAGAATGGCATGCAATTGTTGAAACCTATTTATGCCTATGGAAAATGACGGCCATCTTGGAATTTCTTCAAATGCAAAATCAAATAATAGGGGTATTGAAGATATGGAAAACACTTAGAAACAAAATTAATTTGATGACGGGCACTTTAACTCCCTGAAGTTGGGGTAGTAGTTGTCACCATTACATCTTTGTTCCTAAGGCAAAAGCGGAAGGGAGTAATAAAGATGTGGAAACCACCGACAAAAATCATCCTCCAAAATATCCACTATATCCCCTGGTAACCTGACTATTAATATTTATTTCTGAAACTGAGCAAGCCTTTGAAACCTTCCGATGCTTACGACGTTTTGTTTTGTGGTCTTCAGCTGAACTCAAGCGTAGAGAAAAACACAAAGACGATAATAGTTTTGGAAAAAATATCCTGAATACTGAAACCTGCCTCGAAATCGTGCTTCCCTGGAACTAATGGCAGCTGTTGATTGTTATGGGCAAGATTTTTTTTCAAACATCTCAGCACTATACTGTCTGAGCAAATATATTATATTTCTATTATATTTTTTTGAGCAAATAATTGAAAAAATTATAACAGGTCTCTCTCTCTCTCTCTCTCTCTCTCTCTCTCTCTCTCTCTCTCTCTCTCTCTCTCTTATTAGTTCACTGTAAATTTACTGCAGCCCGAAGTTTGAGACAGTCCTTTGACAAGCAATGTCGCGACCGTGATTTCAAGGCTGCGTGCCGGTGTAACGAAACGGAGGGTCCGCCTCCATTTAATTAGGGTTTGTTAGGCTTACCTGTACAAATGAATGGGAAGCGGACTCTCTTATCATGGGATACTCTCTGTCACATTACACCGGTGTCAACATGTAAAGATACGAGATTTCTGAAAAAACAGTAGTATTTTATGCTCATAACCGTTAGAAAGAAGCACACAGCTGCATTTCAAGCCGAATAACCGAACTATGGATACTTACCATTTGTAATTTAAGGACTGGTGGAAAACACTGAAAAAGACTTTCAACAGAATTACGCGCACGAGTTGATAGGAGTTGATACCCAAGTAAAACACGTGCAGATACTGAATAAGTATTTATCTTGTTTCATTTCATCGTATTTTAATCTGTTGCCATTATATATCACGTCAAATTAGCCAGCTCCGAATTAAAACTGCCACTCCTTGTCTCACTAGTGTATACGGCAGGTTAACATATTCCACATACACTGATGGACAAATGTTAAGCAACACCTGTATTTTTTATATGATGATTTTTGGACATTTCAGGAGTCTAAATTTTTTTCCGTGTAACTACACAAATGGTTAGTTAAACTGGAACGATGAGTACCTTATCTG